CTCTGAGCGTGGGCCAGGAAGAAGCTCAGGATAGTTGGGATATGAGTTCCCGATGGTGGGAACAGTATCCAGTTCTGAGAGTCAAATAATGGTTTGGTGTCATTTATTAGGAAGTGCCAGTCTAGAAGCGCCCTTTCACTTACCTGTCTGTGGATGTTGTCTTGAGATTGGGACATGTCCATTTCAGTTCTTTTAAATCGACCAAATGTTCTAAGTCTTTGAACTGAACTTTGTGTGTTCCAGAGCTCAAGGCTATTCATCGTAATAAAACACACGGTTGGTTTTCATCGCAACCACTTTCCCTGACTTAAGCCTCCTAAGGTTGAACTACTGTCCTGTGCGGATGGCTAGTCATCAGAGGAACCAGACGGCTGGGCCCTGAACCCCAACCTTTGGGTTCTGTTGTGGAATCCTGCAGGTTCTTAGCCTTGCTGTTGACCCTTTTCCACCATAGGAGGTTCAGAAGTTTGTCACACAGCGCTGTCAGGAAGATGAAAGTAAGACTGAGTAAATGAACACATGTAAAGTGCTTCAAACAGATGTAATGCTATAGTCAAACGGTGTCTTTATATTATTAGAAACTGTTTTTAGAGGTAGTTAGCCACACTGGAATTTTAATTACTATCCTGTCAGACAAGGTTGTACATTGAGAGCTTGTGTCTGTTTGCCCACTTTGTTTTCAGAAGAGTTAGGCTAAGTGTAGTATAGCAGTGGCCATGGGAGTTCAGGAGGCAGGACATCTCCAAGGAGCCTAAGAGGACCAAAAATTGTGACTTGGAACATTGGGCAGAGTGGATTGGCTGTAACCTGCAGCTTGGAAAAAAAGTGGTTCCAGCCAGTGTTAGGAATAAGAAGTTCCAGGAACAAGTGTCTCAGCTGATGGTAGATGGGTGTCACAGACATGCCCAGTGACTCAGTGCTCCACTGCTGGATGGATGGTTCTAGCAGTTGTTGTTTTTTTTTTGTTTGTTTTTTGTTTTTTGTTTTTGTTTTGAGGGGAGTTTGGTGGGTTTGAAGGATAATAATTTGTAGGGTGTGCATTGAAATTCTAGTTGTGACCCAAGTCGTGGTGTGGAACTGGGCAGTCAGAAGAACTGCCTGGCCTAGGTGGATGAACCGCTGTAGCTTAGATGGATGCTTATGCAGGCTTCAGCACAGGCTGATCAGGGTTGGGCTATGTGGAGGATGTAGCTTGGCTGGTAGAGTTCCCAGCATGCATGAGGCCCTGGATTGGATCTCCAGTGCCCCATGAACTGGTGCAGGGGTGCATGCCTGCAATCCTGTCACCCAGGAGGTGAGATCAGGATGACAAATTCCTGAGCATCCTGGATTAATTCATTAATTACTTATTTTTATTTTATATGTGAGTGTTTTGCTTGCTTGTGTACATGCATGTGTACTGTGTGCATGTAGTGCCTGCAGAGGTCAGAAGAGGGCATCAGATCCCTTGGATCTGAAGTTACAGATAACTGTGAGCCTCCATGTGGGTGCTGGTTATCGTTATTATTTTTACTATATTGCTGGGGACCTAGCAATGCTCAGCCAGCACTCTGCCACTGGGCTCTAGCCCTGTTGCCATTCACCCCCCCTTTCTTTTATTTTGGGTGGGTATTCTGACTCAAGTGCTTGCCACATCCTCAGCTTTATTTCTCAGAATTGGTATAGACATTGGGTATTGAAATAGCATGTGAAGGCTTCCTTAAGTCAGGAGGAGTGTTCTGTCTAGGCTGGCTTTGGGTTGTTGTGCCTCAGCTCCCTGTCAGTTGGGTGGTTCTGAGGTGTGTTTTGTTTGAATCGTCAGGCCTCTTAACAGAACTAAGTTGTTTGCCCAGATTAGTGATTTAGCCAGCTCCATCATCACCATTCCCGTTTCTGGCTTCTCTCTGGGTTTTCTGGAGTCTCCTGCCAGCCATTTATGCTCATGCTGTTTTTCTTGGTTTGACAGAGCACAGACCGTGCTAGTGGATCCCTGAGACCTACTTGCCCACTCTCAAATGGCAGCGAGGACCTCTTCAGCAGTATATACTCCTGTACTCTAGTGGAACATCTGTAAGACTCCTACTGTGGCAGCTTGGGGTGAGATCCAGGTAGGAGGAAGGCAGCCCTAGCATGGTAGCTATAGCTCTTGAGTGGGTATTGTTGTTGTTTGCTGCAGCTGTGGGTGATGAAACACAAACCTCAGAACTTAACAAAACCCACCTGGAGTTTATTGGGGAAAGGGAGCAAAGGGAGGAGTAGGTGTTGGCCAACTGGGAACAGAGATGGAAGGGGCGAACAGGTGGGAGGCGCTCGCTTAAAAGGGAAAGCTTGCACATGCATACAGAGTCCTTATGCAGCCACATAAACCCATGATGTAGCCATACAACACAGAGCCCTTTGAGTTGTCTAAGTATCTGCCTGAATGCCAGTTGTCAGGGGACGGGGTCAGCATAATGCCAGGATACCGACTGGTATGGCCTGTGGTGATGGAAGGATAGTGGCATTGACTGCCTTTTGGCATCTTCCTTAAGAGCCCACAGAGCAGAGAATGCTAGGTTCTGGGCAGGCAGATGCCAACTCAGGACATATCATGAAACATGGGAGGCTCCATGGCAGTGTGTCCTGCAGCTGGGGGCAGATGGGATGCTTATACTAGGGTTGAATCATCCTCATGGTGGAACTTCAGAGGGATTACACTGCCTTAGCATCTGTGGCCAAGGCCACCAGTGGGAAGAAATGCTGGGATGGAGAAAATGGGGACACTGAGAACGTTAATTTTCAGGATTCCCAGGTCCTCGGGGCTGGCAGCAGGTCTTTGAGGTAGAGGAATAAATATGTATGCTACCATACCCACCTGAGGTAAAGGAGAGCTGCTTTGCCCAGCCTAGCCTGTGCAGAGCCATCCCCAGGGCAGCTGCTTTGAGCAGCATGGCCTGTCTGCTTCAGGATCTGCCTCTGTCTTCTCTAATCACAGTTTTCCCTAAGTGGAAAGTCTTCAGATGTCTGTCTGTGGCTGCAGGACCTGGCTGTGTGGACCAACAGCAGCTGGGGGAAGTATGTGGAGTGGTGGGCTATGAAACTGGATATTCAGGGTGTGGAGATGGGTGCATTCTCTCATGACCCAGGGTTAGTGACCCATCAGGATAATGGGAGCTGGTCCTAACGTGCTGCTGGACAGGCTTGAAACTTGGATGCAGCCATGACCTAAATCACTGGTTATCATCCTGGGCGAGTTCATTGTCCTCACAGGTATTTGACAATGTCTGGATATACTCTTGGTGGCTACAATTAGAGGTCTGGCTGAGGGTGCTACTGAAGCAGTTATGATCTGTATAATAACTTTCCAGTGAGACAGTTACCTAACTCAGAATGTTAGTCGAAGCCACAGCCAGAAACCCTGGCTTACAGTAAATGAGGTGAGATATCAGGACTGCGGTGGCAGAGTATTGAAGAAGCCATTGGAAGGTTAGGGAGGCAGATAGCTTAAATAGGTTATTGCTTGAGGCCAGAGATGACACCGCTTGCTCTGCCTCTGGGGGAGTCCACTCTTTTCACTCTGGTAATATGGAATGTCCAGGGAGGGGCTGACACTCTGGTAATATGGAATGTCCAGGGAGGGGCTGACACCTTTGAGAAGCTCAGCACTGGCCCCCTGCAGGCTGGCATTGACTTCCTTGGTAACAAGGACAGTTCCCTAGTTCCTGAGAAAGGTAGAGTTCTGTAGTGGCAGTGGCCTGTGGTGTCCTTAGCCACAGACAGCAAGACAGACATGGTATCCATAGTGGATGGTGGGGGGTGTGGGGGTGTGGGGCAGTACTCAGCAAGGCTGTCTAGACCTACTGTGCTGTGACTAGGTCATGGTCCTAGGAGCAGAGTAGATGGGAAGCTAGTTCAGACTCTCTCTCTCTCTCTCTCTCTCTCTCTCTCTCTCTCTCTCTCTCTCCTTTCTGTTGATTTTGCTGGTGTAAGATTGTTTATTTCCCGTGTTTTCATGAAGATAGTTAACCTCCCTGGTTTGGAGTTTTCCTTCTAGCACCTTCTGTCAGGCTGGATTTGCAGATAGATTTCATGGAATGCCTTGATTTCTCCATCTATGGTGATTGAAAGTTTTGCTGGCTATAGTAGTCTGGGCTGGCATCTGTGATCCTTTACAGTCCGTCCACTCCCTTCTGGCCTTTAGAGTCTCCATTGAGAAGTCAGGTGTAATTCTAGTAGGTCTGTCTTTATTTGTTACTTGGTCTTTCTCCCTTTGAATTTTTTTTTTGTTTGTTTTGTTTTTTGTTTTTTGTTTTTCGAGACAGGTTTCTCTGTATAGCTTTGGAGCCTATCCTGGCACTCGCTCTGGAGAACAGGCTGGCCTCCTGAGTGCTGGGATTAAAGGTGTGTGCCACCAATGCCCGGCCTCCCTTGGAGTTTTTAATATTCTTTCTTTGTCCTTTCTGTGTTTTGATTATTATGTAGTGAGGGGACTTTCTTTTTTGGTGCAGTCTATTTAGTGTTCTGTAAGCTTCTTGTCCTTTGTTAGGTTAGGAAGATTTTCTTCTATGATTTTGTTGAAAATATTTTCTGGGTCTTTGAGTTGGGATTCTTCTCCTTCTTCTATTCCTATTATTTTTAGGTTTGGTCTTTTCATCCAGATTACGTGGATGTTTTATGTCAGGAGCTTTTTAGATTTAACATTTTCTTTGACTGATGTATCCATTTCTTCTATAGTATCTTCAGTGTCCGAAATTCTCTTTTCCATCTCTTGTATTCTGTTGAAGCTTGTCTCTGTAGTTCCTGTTTGTAATACTCCATTTTTCACTTCCAGAATCCCCTCAGTTTGTGATTTCTTTATTGCTTCTATTTTCATTTTCAGGTTTTGAACAGTTTCATTTGTTTTCTTCATTTGTTTTTTTCTTGGCTTTCTTTAAGGGATTTTATTAATTTCCTACAGTTGCTTGTGTTTTTTTTTTCTGGATTTTTAAAGGGGATTTATTCATTTCCTCTTTAAGAATTTCTATCATCTTCATAGCCAGGAGGTGGTGGCATTCAGGAGGCAGAGGCAGGTGGATCTCTATGAGTTCAAGGCCAGCCTGGTCTACAAGAGCTAGTTCCAGGTCAGGCTCCAAAGCCACAGAGAAACCCTGTCTTGGGATTTCTATCATCTTCATATAGTTGGTTTTAAGGTATTCCTCTTGTGCTTTAGCTATGTTGGAATATTCGGGTCCTGCTATGGTAGGATAGCTGGGCTCTGGTAGAGACATATTGTTCTGGCTGTTATTGATTGCATTCTTGTGCTTGCTTCTAGACATTTATGTTTGGGATGATTATAGGTCTACCTGCTGATTTTTGGGTTTGTCTTTTTTGCATAGCTGTTTTATTTCTTTCTTTCGGTTCCCTCTCTGGATTTTCAGAGCATGTGTTGGCTGTGTGCTTTCTGTTTTACTGGTGTCTTCAAGGGGAATGCTTGCTGGTGTTATGGGTTGGGGGGAGGGGAGGCCAGGGGGGAATGGTCTGTTATGGTGTTAGGGACAACCCTGAAAATTGAGATTGGGGGAACAGAAAGAGTGGAGAAGGTCCACAGTCAGCTTACCTGGTCTTCTGGGGGATATGGCCTGTGGTTGAGCAGGGAGTGGCTGTCTTTCCTGGGGGCCGGTATGCAGCTACAAGGTGGGGAGGGAAGGTCAGGGGGGATGGTCTGTGGGATCCACAGGGGGTGTGGACAGCAGGGAGGGTGTTCTGTTGCAGTGCTAGGGGTGACCCTGAGAATTGGGTTTGGGGGAACAGAGAGTGTGGAAAAGGTCCAAGGGTAGCCTATCTGGTCTGGCCAAAAAGTGTATTTCATAGCTTGTCTTGAAAGGTCGGGAACTACTGTATGAAAGGAGTTTGTTTACAATTAGCCAAGGTCTCAAACTGACTATACACACTAAGCTACCACCTATGGCCAACTTGTTCAAGGGTGGATTTTCCAACTCTAATTTAGACCAACAAGGATGACCTGCAGAGATGGGCCACAAGTCCCCCTGGGGTGCTTACCCTATGGTGTTTGTAACTACTGATTTAGATTGAAGTAGACCTTGAGAGCTTGTTGAGAAATTTTGTACATGGGCTGGTGGGGTACAATATCTGCCTCAACTCTCCCTCTGCAAACTCTAGGGGCCACCCAGGGAGACAGAACCATTGCACACACTGGGCCTGGGGCCAGTGGGGTGACTGTTAGGATGTCAGAGAAGTGATAACTCTGAAACCCTTGTTCCCATCATGGGGTCAGTCAGCATATGGCTCACACTTATTCCAAAAATGATACTCTTTAAACTTAAAATAGATAGACCTCTGCATGTTAGTCCTGATTCCTTGACATACTTTGATTCATGGTCTCAGAGATGTGAGTGAAATCACTTCTGACTATGGCACATTCCCCTCCTACCTGGACTGGCAGTGACTGCAATCGCAATATTCAAGGTTGGAAAGTCTTCCAGTATATGGAGTGGTGGGTGGGTGGGGGCACTCTATTTAGCCAAAGTGAAAATGACTGATAAGCCTGCTGAGGACTTCTGGGCTCCCACTGTACTCGAAGTTACCCTGGCAGATCAGGGGCCCTTTGTAGTTTGGGGCTTCCACATGAAATGCCAGCGTGGCTCATTGTAATCCCTGGGCAGTTTGTAGCAGCCACCCATCACACTCCAGGCTGTGCCCCATCCATAGCACCTGGGCATGAGCTGTGGGAATCGGCCTGGTAAACACCTTATGTCATGGTCTTCAGGGCAAGTGTGCCTGTCTTAGTCAGGGTTACTATTGCTGTGATCAAACGCCATGACCAAACACAAGTTGGGGAGGAAATGGTTTATTTCACTCACAGTTTCATATAACAGTTTGTTATCATGAGGCATGAACTCAAATAGGGCTGGAACCTGGAGGAGCTGATGCAGAAGCCATGAAGGGTTGCTGGTTACTGGCTTGTTTCCCATGGCTTGCTCAGCCTGCTATCTTATAGAACCTAGGACCACCAGCCCAGGGATGGCACCACCCACAATGGATGGACCCTACCTCATCAATCACTAATTTAGAAACCGCCTTACAGCTCGCTCTTATGGAGGCATTTTCTCAATTAATGTTCTGTCTGTCCAGATGACTCTAGCTTGTGTGTCAAGTTGACATAGACTAGCCATGTAGTTGACATATACTGCCTTTTTAGCTGAGCACTGAACGATTTCTTCTCTGTCTCAGCCCTTGATACTTACTGATTTTTCTGCTGCTGTGTAACCGATCGAGAAAACTCAGTGACATAGAGTGACAATGAGCATGCAGGCTTTGATGGGGACAGTGTGGATGTCTGAGAGTGCCATCCACTGGTTGCACAAATGCCTGTGTAGTAAGAGTTCCCACAAGGACAGCTGCAGAAACTGAGGGTTTTTTGGGACAAACTTGAAGTGTCAGAATGCCGTCTGTGCAAGTGGTGGACCATGGGGTCTTGCAGGGAAGGGACAGGGCTTCTGCTCGTGGGTGGCAAAAGTGCTGCTGTGCTTCTGTGTGGATGACAGAAGCTGTTGGCATCTGAATTGATCACACACTCTTTTTCTCTCTCCCTCCTCTTTCCCTGCCCTCCCTCTTCCCCCTACTTCGGTTCTCTTGCTCAGTTCACTTGTATAATCTTTTCATTGAAGTGGACCAGCCTTTACTTTCATTATAAGATACCAACATGCATTAGAGTTAAAGACGGAGGCTGTTCTTCTGTGATGCCCCTGACCCATCACACTCTGTATCCCTTGGCTTCGTCTTCTCTCCCTCACTAGGCTGAAGGCTCCTCTAGGTAGGCTCAGCCTTGTCCCTGCCACAATATCTGGTAGAGGCTCAATTGTTGTTTATTAGTGAGTGAATGAATGAAAACTGATTTTAGAGCTACTGAGCATCATTTTGGTCCAGGTAAACCATCATTTTAGGTCAGGTGAATGTTTCAAAATAATTATCTATAGTTATTTTGTTTTAGAATTTTCTTCTTTGGTCAACATCTCCTTCCTAGGGCCCAACATTTCCTAGCTTGTGCTTAAGTAAATATACATAGGGTTGGGGCTAGAGGGATGGCTGAGCAGTTAAAAGCACTGGTTGGTCCTCCAGGGGGCCCACGTTACATTCCCAGCATGTACATGGAAGTTTACAACTGTCTGTAACTCCAATGCCCCTTTCTGGCCTCCATGGGCACCAGGTACACACATGGTGCACAGACATATATACAGGCAAAATACTTATTCAGAAATGGATTAATTTAAAAGATGAACTTAAATATGGCATAACTATAATTTTATATTGTATATTGACATATATCTATAACATTAATATGAAATAAATTTTATTCTCTATATAAAATACATATTTGTATATATCAGAAGTATCAAATATTCTAGTCATTTTGATACACCATATAAGGGTGTGGTGCACTGTGTTCATAATCACAGTTTTTGGGACATGGAGGCAGAAGGATCGAAAGTTTAAGGCCATAATTAACTACATAGCAAGTTCAGGGCCAGCCTTGTTTTGGAAAAAGGGAGAGAGAGGAATTAAATAAACATATTAAAAGCTGAACAATCCAATCCTTTTCAGGGTATCACTTGTCATCCTAAACATTTGCTTTTTCTCATTTTTGTCTTTGGTGACCAGGCGTGTGAGGAAGAGGCTATCTGTGTCATTATGTGTGCGTCAGTCAAGTATAATATTCGGGGTCCTGCCCTCATCCCAAGAATGAAGACCAAGCACCGGTTCTACTATGTCACCCTCTTCTCCATTGTCCTCCTGGGTCTTATTGCCACAGGCGTGTTTCAGTTCTGGCCCCACTCCATCGAGTCCTCCGGTGATGGGGGTGTGGAGAAACGCAGCATTAAGGAAGTGCCTGTGGTCAGGTTGCCAGCTGCCAGCCCTATCCCAGAGCGGGGGGATCTCAGCTGTAGAATGCACACATGTTTTGATGTCTACCGTTGTGGCTTCAACCCAAAGAACAAAATCAAGGTGTACATCTATCCTCTGAAAAAGTACGTGGATGATGCAGGTGTCCCAGTGAGCAGCACCATTTCCCGGGAGTACAACGAACTGTTAGCAGCTATCTCAGACAGTGACTACTACACGGATGACATCAGCCGGGCCTGTCTGTTTGTCCCCTCCATTGATGTGCTGAACCAAAGCCCGCTTCGCATCAAGGAGACAGCACAGGCTCTGGCCCAGCTTTCCAGGTACCTGACACCTAGTCACCAGAGCCCAAGGCATGATCTAAGGGAAGGGGAGAGGCAGGGGCATGCCTCCCGTTGACTTGGCCCCAGATGCTTCAGCTCACAAGTGTATGAGTGACTGATGTGTAGCAGGAGGGCTGTGCTGTGAGTGCCAGCCTCAGAGCTGTCATTCTGCTACTGCTGTGGTGGCCTGTGTCTTCGTGGACATTAGAACTAAGGGAGGCTGTCCTCCTATACTTCTCTTCATAGATTAAAATGCACAGCCTCCTACCCCAGGAACTTAGGTCCTTCTGTGTACTGTGAAAAGCCTTAAAAGGCAGCTCAGCAAAAGGAATGTAAGATTTATTCGGTACTCTTCCTCTAAGAGGTAACTGCTATCACTGTTTCAATGGGATTATTCAGTCTTTTTTTTTTTTTGGTATGAAATTGCTCCATGTGTATAGCTATAAACTTTTTTTTCTTGTTCAGAAATGGCATAATGTGATCATACTCCAAAGAAGCTTCATTTCTCAGTTTTTGTTTGTTTGTGTTTTTTGAGACAGGGTGTCTCTGTGGCTTTGGAGCCTGTCCTGGAACTAGCTCTTGTAGACCAGGCTGGTCTCAAACTCAGAGAGATCCGCCTGCCTCTGCCTCCAAGTGCTGGGATTAAAGGGGTGTGCCACCACTGCCTGGTGAAGCTTCATTTCTTATAATGCATTGTGCATATCTTTCCAAATAATTTAACACACAAACACACACACACACACACACACACACACACACACACACACACACACACACACTATCTATACTATGCAAAGGCTAGAGATTGGTGTTGGGTGTCTTTATTACCCTCCACCTTATTTTTTTGAGACAGGTTTCTCACTAAATCTGGAGCCTCCCCATTTGGTCAGTGAGCCAAGGATCCTTCAGTCTCTGCCTCCCCTGCAGTGGGGTTGCAGACATGCTCTATTGGGCCAGCTTTTATCTAGGTTCTGGGAATTGAACTCAGATCCTCATGCTTGTATAGCAAGCACTTTACTGACTGAGTCATTTCCCTGGCCCCTCACATACTTTTTAATATAATTTTGGAGGTTTTGTACCATTCCATTTTATGGATGTTCTGTAATACATTTAATCAGCTGCCTATAATTTGTTTACTATTGTTTCTTTTAGATTTTTTATTTATTTAAATATGTATGGACATTCTGCCTGCAAGTATGTCTGTGTACCGTGTGTGTGCTTGGTGTCCTCACAGACCAGAAGAGGGCATTGGATCCCTTAAAACTGGAGTTATAGATGGTTGTGAGCCATCATGTGGGTGCTAGGATTAGAACCTGGGTCCTCTGGAAGAGCAAGCAGTTGGTACTCCTAACCATTTGCTTCTTGAGCATTTAGGTGCATTTCAGATTCTTTGTTTTTTTTTATGTGTAGTGATCAGAAATGGTTGTGTAGCAGATGAGCTGGAAGTACACATCTCTCCAGTTTTTGTTTTGTTTTGTTTTTGTTTTTTTAACCTGTTGTCCCTTTGGGATTTTAGAAGTTTCTTTGCACCTGCAAGGCCTTGCAGTTGTGGCTACTTACCCCTGTGTCCCAGCAGGTGGCACTGTTGCAGGTGTGGGCTGCTTGCCCGTGTGATCCAGTGTCTTCCTACACTCATTTCTTCATGGTTGAAGTGTGGATCCTCTTAGTTGTTTGCTTTCTCAATAGGTGGGATCGAGGAACAAATCACCTGCTGTTCAACATGTTGCCTGGAGGTCCCCCAGATTATAACACTGCCCTGGATGTCCCCAGAGACAGGTGAGCATTTGGGAGGTTGTCCCATGATGGATTTCTGAGAATTAGGTAAGTAAAATAGGAATCATTTATTCCTATGAAATTAGGTTCCTAGACAGGTGTGGTGGCACACATCTTTAATCCCAGCACTTGGGAGGCAGAGGCAGGGGATCTTTGAGTTTGAGGCCATCCTGGTCTACAGAACAAGTTCCAGAACAGCCGGGCCTACACAGAGAAGCCCTCTTGCAATAAACAAATAAATACATAAATATGAGTTTGAGACCAACCTGGTCTATACGGCAAGTTCTAGGACAGCCAGGGCTACACAGAGAAACCCTGTCTTATGATAGATAGATAGATAGATACATAGGTAGATAGATAGATAGATAGATAGATAGATAGATAGATAGAAAAGAAAGGAGTTAGGTTCCTGAAACCTTCTGGAATATATTTTATGATCAGAATTGTTTATTAAGCTAGAAAACCCTCTAAAGGCATTTCCCTCAAGTCAGAAATTCGGAAGCTGTTTAAACCTGTGGAAACAGTTGGAGCTGGAGTCCTGGGACAGTTCTAAGAACTGCCTTGTTTTCCTAGTCTGGGCTTGTGTCAGTTTCAAGGGTAGCATCCAGTTCCCAAGCCAGTTAGGATCAGGATAATGGTGTCCATCCATGCTCCTCCTCCTCCTCCTCCTCCTTTTTTTTTATTCAAATTAGGAACAAGCTTACTTCACGTGTCAATCCCTTCCCCCCCCTCACATCCAAGCCTTCTTAATTGGGACTTATTTACCAAAAGTGGTCCTGTAGCATCTGAGAGGACAGGGGTAGATGTCCAAAGGTACCTGAAGCCAGAGTGCTCAGGGCATCATTGCTTATGTTTGGATCAGCCAGTTTCTCCTTTGTTTCCCCATTTTCTTCCCATTTTTACATTTTGTCCCCACTCACCTCTCCCTTGTTTCTTCCTTTCTGGTAAAGCTTACTAAACAGGCAGAAGTGGGGAGAGGTAGCCAGCGGTCTTGTTCCTGACTCTGAGCTCATTCATTACACTTCCCTGCCCTTTCATGCATCGGTTTACTCATGTTAGCCCGAGGCTCCTGGAAAGTTCCAGAATGAGGTGTTGGGCTTGTCACTTCTATTAGTGTTTGGTTCACAGCTTTGAGGAAAACAGAAAGTTCCGCTCCAGCTCAGGGCAGTGTTCAGGTTGCAGGAAGGTTACAAGAGTGTGTGGGCACATTCATTTATTCCAGTCTTGTAGGATGTTACTGACAGTTCTCATCTTGAGACCAGCTGTCATCTCAGAGGCTAAGGTTACCATCCGTGGAAATATACACTGTGCCATATGTCTGTCCAGATGGCTGATCTGAATCTTCTGTATTTCAAGTGGGTATCTCAAGTCAGTTTTGAGTTTCTGTACGACAGTAGGATGATCCCTAGAAGACATAATAATGTAGAGAGCCCTGTGGACAGCAGAGGGCAGTGTGGCACACAAGCCTGTGCAAGCACTTCCCCAGCAATCCCCGACTCGCCTCCTGACTGAGCTGCTTTTATAGACACCCAGACAAAAGTGGAAATTTGTAAGGAAGGAAAAGGAAGGATAATCAAATTCCAAGGTTGTAGAATTGAGAAAACTAACATCACATAAACGTTAAGGGTATGATTGCTTCCACTGGCGTTAAAATGAAACAGGCTATGTGTATGTGGATCCAGGACCCTCACTGATACACAAATAGTTGTTGATGTTCTAAGAGAGGGAAGGAGCTGTTAGGATGCAGTGTCTACACTGGGGTATGCTTTCAGAAGGCTCATTTCTATTTTTTGTTTTTTTTGTTGTTGTTGTTTGGGACATTTCACCTTAAAAAAAAGAACCATAGTTTCACTATGTAGACTGAGCTGGCATGGAACCAAGTTGGCCTTGAATTCATAGAGTTCCATTGCCTGCCTGTCTGCTGAGAGCTGGGATTAAAGACGTGTGCCACCATGCCCAATGGGACACTTCACTTCGCTGAGACTGATTTTTATTTTTAGTCAAGTGTTAAAAGTGGGAAGGTGCCAAGTGGGCAGAAGAATGTTGATGTTTTAGTAGTTGATTCCTAGGTGTCAGGACCAGAAGGCTAAATTGTTTTCATCAGCATGTAGTTGGCCTCTGTCTTGACTGCAGTACATTTCACTCTGATGCCTGTGTGGGAGGAGTCATGGGCTTGTTTTTAGTCTTTATCCTCTGTCCTTGCTTGTGTGTTTAGAGAAGTGTAGAATAGCGTCAGCTGGAGCTGGATGTCTGTTCTGGAATTAGAAAACAGGGCTAGATTAGATCCTTGAAGTCTAAACTCAAGGATGTGCTTGCTTATATGATATTTTGTTTTGTGTTTTTTTCGAGACAGGGTTTCTCTGTGCAGCCCTGGCTGTGCTGGAAATTGCTCTGTAGATCAGGCTGGCCTTGACTCATAAGAGATCCACCTGCCTCTGCCTCCTGAGTGCTGGGATTAAAGGCGTTTTGCTTAAAGAAATGCAAAGATCTGAACTGAATTAGAATCCAGGGTCTTCAGCATGCTAAGCAAGTGGTCTACCACTGAGCTGTATTCCAAACATTAACTGTAGCTTTTATGTTGCTTGTTTCCTGTTTCCCTTAGAACTTTTAGGAACCGTACATGTAACACATAGGTACTTTGCACAAGAGTCGAACCACATGCAAATGTGAAGGAATCAAACTAAACAGCATGCTCCTTTCAATTTTTCTCCAGAGAGAGGGGGAGGGAGAGACAGAGACACACCGAGAGGCCCTCACTGTTAGAATAGTGTCTTACTTTTGTTTCCTGTTTCTGTGATGAGCACCCTGACAGAAGAGCTTTGGGGAGCTGGTGGCTTCAGTCCGTCTTTGTAAGGGCATCAAGAAGAATGTGAAGCAGACAGTTACATCCTAAGGGAAGAGCAGAGAGAGAAGGGTACATGCTTACTCTTCTTGCTTGTGTACACACACACACACAGAACTTAACTTTAGTGGGAGCATATTGGACCTCTTTAATGCTTAACTAATGTTAATTTTCTCAGGTGTGTTCTGGAATATTACTACCTTGGATTTTCATTAATTTTTCTTTGAATATGTCTTGTACGTATTTCTGCTGTGAAATGGGTGTATATATTCATTTATTTGAACTTGCTGGGGAAACTTTAATACTATACAAGGGAGGAGGGGTATAACACAGTGAACTCTATATCCCTACCGTCAGCCTGATCTTCATCACCTCCTGGCCAGTCTTGGTCCATCTGTTCTGAATGTATTCCTCCCCCAATTATCTAGAAGCTATTCCAGACCTCATAGCATTACATGTGCAAACATTCCTGTGTGGATCTTCACATTAACTATAACACTATTATCATACCTAAAATATTAACAGTACTTAGAAAAAAGATTTATTTTTATTTAAGTATGTGTGTGTGCCTGCATGAGTTTGTGTGTACCTCATGTGAGTAGGTTCCCTTGGAGGCCAGAGGGCATGGGATCCCCTGGAACTGGAGTTATTGACAATTGTGGATGTTGAGACCCGAACCCTGGTCTGCTGTAAGAACAGTAAGCACTCCTAACTGCAGAGCCATCTCTCTAGCCATATAGTATTTTTTTGGTGGTGTTTTTGAGACCTCCCACCTCAGTAGTACAGAGTAGCCTCACTCTCAAAATGTGCAGAGGCAGGTTTCTGAGCTGAGATTATAGATATGTGCCACTCTGCTCTGTTCAACAATATTTCTTCTTAATTGTTGTTTTTGCTTGTTTGGTTGTTTTTGTGACAGAGTCTCATTAAGGAGACCAAGCTGGCTTTGAACTCATAAAGATCTGCCAGTCTCTGCCTCCCCAGTGGTGGGATTAAAGGCATGTGCTCAACAATACTTCTTTAAATAAACTGATAAACTACTAGGCGCCTGTGTTTGGCACTGTGAGTGTTCAGAAGTGGGGAGACCTGTGAGCAGCTTGTGTGGATGGGAGTCAGGAGAGTGGTGGGAGCAAGGCTCAGCATTGGCGACAGAGGAGGTGTCCTAGAGTCAGGAAGCCCTGGAAAGCCCTGGGCTGGAGACCTTCCCTAGTGACCCCTTGGCTTGCCATTGTCAGGATCACCAACTCAGATTTCCTGGCCACAAGTGTTTGATTCCATCACTTGTGGAACTGAGCTCCAGTTTGGGGATCTGTGATGGGAAAACAGAATGTCCTGCTCAGAAATTTGCTCTGCAGTCAATGTGAAACATGTGTGCTGTGGAGTGAGGCAGCTGGCGATGCCATGGGAAGCTGGCTGAAGAGGCTGGGGCTTACAGGGGAGGATCTGCAGTACAGGCCTGGCCTGAGGACAGTTTGACCTCCTGCCATCAAGGTTCTTTCTGAGATCACAACCAGAGATGACGTGTGTGTGTGTGTGTGTGTGTGTGTGTGTGTGTGTGTGTGTACATGACACATTTCTCTGATGTATCTGTACACCTGCCCCATGCCTCTGCAATATAACAACATGTTTGGGGCCACAAGGACAGGATAATGGAATAACAGTGAAGGTTGATGTGAGAAAGGAAGCTTGCTCCACCCCCTCCTTCCTGTAGGCAGACAGTAACAGCCTAATTACCCACAATGCTGGCTTACCTGTGCTGCCTGGTGCCTGTCTATAGTGCCCACGTCTGCTTTTCTGCACAGCAGCCTTGGCCATGCAGGGTCTGCTTGCCATCACAGCCATGGAACCCGCCCAAGTTCATGTTGGATGGATTCAGTGTTGCATATTAATCAGGAGAACATCAGAGCGTGTATTGGTACTGGGTTTAATCATTACATCTTAGAAGAAGACAGGAGCCTGGAGAGGTTTCAAGCCTGCTTGTTACCCCAGTTGCTAGTGCTTGGATTCAGAGTGCTTAAGCAAACAGAGTGGGATTTCCAGGGGTGGTTTGAACATCTCTGATCTTACACTAGCCACATTAGAAGGGAATGTAAGTTTTCATCAGGGTGTGGAGGGGATTGGTAGCAGTCAATATTGAAAAGAAAAAAATGTATTTTCTCGGTTCAGACATTGAGCTCAGACTCTGAGGTGTGTGCAAATAGCAAAATCAGCCCAGAAAGTGCTTTTGATGGGTTGGGACCCTGGAACAGAACAACAGCCGAAGGGAGGTGACCCACACCTGCTTCCTTTGTCTGATGAAGTGTTATCATGGCACTTGTTGGATCCAGTTAAAACAATGTGGTTGGTGTTTTCTAATTAGGGAGAAGGCATGCTAGTGCCCACAGACTCCAAGAGAGGCTCTAAGGAGCAGCCTGGCTTGGTTTCCCAATTAGGGATTGGATTAATAAGATCCAGGCTGGGAAGGACAGTGGCAGCTGGTGGAGGCTGTGTGAGTGACACAGCCCTGGGATGGCAGAGGGAGAGCTGCTTGGTCCAGGGACTGGAGAGTCTGGGCTGATGTAGTGTGAGATGTGACATCTGTTGGCCACCACTGTTTTCCTTGTCTCTAGCCTGGGATCTATGAGACTCCAAGAGAGAGTGAGGAATGACTGCCTATAGCAGTCTTCCTATAGACCTGCTATTACTCCTGTTGCTGTGCGTGTGTTGAGAACAAAGTATGGAGGCTGGAGAGCTGGCTCAGTGGTTAAGAGCCTGACTGATCTTCCAGAGGACCTGGGTTTGATTCCCAGCACCCATATGGATGCTCACAACTATCTACATAACTCAAATCTGAGGAGATCCCACGCTTGCTTCTGACCTCTGCAGGTACACGTGTAGTTAGAACACTCATACACACACACACACAAATAATAATAAAATAGAAATTTTAAAAAGGATAAAGTGTGGCTTTCCAGGGAGGTCAGTGGAGTCTGAAGGAGATAGCACAGGGGCTTACAAGGTAGCTCAGTGGGTAAGGGGGCTTGTCACCAACATGATGACCTGAGTTCTACCCAGGAACCTACATGGTGAATGGAGAGCACAAACTCTCACAACTTGTCCTCTAACCTGTATACATGTACTGTGGTGCATGCACATGTGCAAACACACACACACACACATGCACACACACACCAAAAAATAAAAATGTAGTAAACATTTTGTAAAGTAAGGAAAGACTTCAGGCAGTGGAGATAGCTGTTGTTACTTGATGGGAAGCAGCTTGTGCCTTGGTGTTTCTCAAGCACAGGGGCTCTCATATTATCTGTTGTTTTTATTAATTCAGTCATTGCCATATCTTCTCATGGCATTTATCATGAATACCTTGCTTTCTCAATATTTACCCAAGTCTTTTCTCTGCAGGGCGTTGTTGGCAGGTGGCGGCTTTTCTACTTGGACTTACCGGCAGGGCTATGATGTCAGCATTCCTGTCTTCAGCCCGCTGTCAACCGAGGTGGCTCTCCCAGAGAAAGCACCAGGGTAAGGTGGCTCAGTCTGGCAGTGTGCCATTACAGAGTGTGGGTGCTTGCAAGGCGCAATGTGGGGTCCTCTGGCAAGCAAGGTGTCTACTTCAGGCCAGAGTCTGGAGTGTTCTGGCCTACCCCACCCATCTTGCTCCACAGCAATTTAACAAGTCTGTCATGTCAGAAGTGTTCCTTGAATCTGTCTGCTCCCTTTCCTCTGGATCTGCCTGCATCAGCCCACGGCCATCTCCTTTGGGATGCTGGGTGAAATCCTGTTTTGTGTCCCTGACTCTAATCTCCCTACTGTCCAGCCTGGTCTTGCCCTTCTAATGCATGCCAGATAAAGCCATACTTCCCTGAATCTGTCACAGCTGTCTGGTGTCTGGCCACTGTCTTCCTTGTAAGTCTTCTCTTGAAGGACTTTCCCTTCAGTTTTTGGAACAGGTTTTAATCTCCCCGTTTTTCTGTGAACTCTTCCTCTGTGTGTGTATATGTTGTGCGTGTGTGTGTGTGTGTGTGTGTGTGTGTGTGTGTGTGTTGTGTACTCATGTTCATGTGTGTTGGGTGTGCATGTGTGTGCATTGCGTGTAAGCAGACTTTTCTGTCTCACCAACCAGTCCCCAAATAATCACACTAAGACTTATTGTTAATTATAAATGCAGGGCCAATAGCTCAGGCTTGTTACTAGCTAACTCTTATATTTTAAAATTAACCCATATTTCTTATCTATGGTCAGCCACATGGCTCAGTACCTTTGGCCAGTATGGCAAGTTCATCTCCTGCTTCCTCTCCATCTCTTCTCGACTCCTGAGACTCCTTCCCTTCTTCATATTCCTTTTGTCTGCAAGTCCTGCCTAACTTCTACTTGTCCAGCTATTGGCCAATCAGCTTCTTTATTAAACCAATCACACTTACATATATTCACACAGTGTAAAGGAATATTCCATATTTCTTCCTTTTTGACTAACTAAAAAAGGAAGGTTTGAGCTTTAACATAGTAAAATTATATATAACAAAAACAGTTTATCAAGAAAGAATTGTAGGTACAATAACCAGGCCATTTTTATTTGGCAAATTTAGAGAAAATATTCTATTACTTATTTTATCTTTGTGAGTCTAAAGTTTTATGCCTAATTTATCTTTTTATTATAACTAAGAAAAACTTAAAGTCTAATTATTTAGTCTTCAACTCAATCAAAGACCCTAGAAGGGTATAATGTTACCAAACAACAGGGATATCTGGCTGCCTAGACAGTCACCCAAAGTTCTTCTGCAACCCTGAGGCATCCATCTTTGGCTATAGGCCTACTATATCTGTCAGGCATTTTTGAGAAGCAGGGAATTTTGAAGGACTGTCCTACCTTGTGTTGGCAAAGTTTGGAAGCAATTGAGGGTCGGGCAGTTTCTTTGCCCACATGGCTAACTTTGTCACAATGAAAGCAAACTCCATATGGATGTTCTTTAATGCCTAGACAGCTTGCTTTTTCTTGCTTGGTTTAATTCAAATTGGACTGAATGTGATCTGTGAGTCATCATTTGAGTATGTTTTTCCTCATTTTGTTTGTGTCTGGGTTTTTATATCATTTGGATGAGCTGTGATAATAGATTTAGAGATTTATTATTGGATTTAATCCCATGCTTTTGAAGTAAATTGGTGCTGTCAGGAGCAGACGTGACTCACTGTCATGAAAAGCCTTAGGTTATTAAACATAAAATGCCACATTCTGTATGTCCTTGAAGCGTTTGAAGACCATCTGTCTATATAAATATATCTGTTTAACCTTGAAAATATAACCTAATATGACTACAAGTTTGATTATTATAGATGACTAACTACTAACCTGTAATTTTTAGTTATACATTACATTTTAAAACGAGCTGCATAAGCACAATACCCCAAACAAGAGCAGAAACATACATACCGAATAACAAAATTAACCTTAAATTTGTATCAATAAACCAAAATTCATACCAATGTAAAATATTTTGACATTAATAGTTGTTTTTTGGATTAAAGCAGATTCGATAATCTACCTTTTTATCTCATCATTTTTCTATCATATCCCCCTTTAGGGATCTTTGAATTTAACTCTTTTGTCTAGCTTTTTCCTAACTATGACCAATAACAACTTGTAGCCAACCCCCCTTAAATGGTGGCAAATATCCAGTCTATCTTTGGGGAATGTGGACATTGTTTTCTAGACTACTTCTTGTTGTTTGTGGGCTCTTGTATCTTTGGAGGAGCCCTGAGAAAATCAGGATACTTGTTAAGTTTTGGCTGGAGTAGTTTGTGAATTTGGACCATCTCAGCCAGAAGCCTAGAAGCTGTTTTGGATTCAGGATTCTGAGGAGACTGTAACATAGGCATTTTGAAATACTGGACCACCTGGATCATCCATTTTTATTGGTGTCTGGTCCCCTTGTTTTGAAAATATATCAACTTTTAAAGGTAACATACATACCTGTACTAATACAAGTATAGGCTATGCATTGTACACAAGATAACCAAAGATGATTTTTTTTTGTTGTTGTTTTATGTTTGAGAAGGCAAGTATACATTATGTGTTTTGTAGTTTTTCTAGGTTTATTTCTTTATGTCTGTACCCAAGATTTTCAGGGGCGGGGGGTCTTCCTCAATCAAACCTGATCCATGTCAACCTGAAATGAATCTAATAGCTCTTCCCCAAAGAAACATATCTTTTGACTTCCATTTTGGAGTTAAGACATTTTAAAAATATATAGGTTGGTTTAACCCAGCAGTTTTTATAAACCAATGATTTGTTGTAACAGTTGTCATTCCTTCATTAGCAATCAGAAAATCTAAAGATAACACAATAACATGTAGGATTCAGACTCTCAGTGTATTTCCCATCTTTATGTGGCTTATTATTATTATTATTATTATTATTATTATTACTATTATTTTATTTTACTCCTTTTTTAAGGACTTTGTTTTTAAACTGTTTTTAATATATGACTGTGTATACCCTTTCTCTTTTCTAAGCCTATGTATATTTTTAAACACACTGTAACCCATTTAGATTTTTTTCCAACTGGATCTGTGTTTTTCTTTGATAGTAAGAGGCAAATCTTAAACTGTCATGTTAGCTGCTGGCATAGCTCAGCTTAGTGCATGCATTGGTGAATGGCATTGGCATCTGGCTCCTCTTTGGTTCCCTGGGAGCCTAGCTTCATGGTGGAGGTACCAGCAGGAGCCACATTTATCACCCCAGCTCTAGGAAGTTGTTGGATCAGTGCTGCCACTGAGTAGCACAACCTGCTGCTCATAAACCCTATTTAAGTGTTCAGTAGAAGTGCCTCTTAAAAGAGCCATGCTGCCTGAGCCAGGAAGTCACCTCTTAAAGGAGCTATGCCTCTTTTTGTCACTAGCATCAAGCCTATCCGAGAAAAGGAGATTCTCAAGAAGCTGAGTTTGGCTCCATTTTTGTGTGTTTGGAACCTTTTTTAAAGCTTTCTCAGGTTTTATGTGGATCTGTGTTGCCCAACAGTGGGTGCCATATGTAGGCAGACTTTTCTGTCCTGCCAGCCAGTTCTCAAATAACCACACCAAGACTTATTATTAATAATAAACAATTGGCCAATAGCTCAGGCTTGTTACTAGCTGCTACATTTTAAATTAACCCATATTTTTTATCTATGCTTTGGCTCAGTACCTTTTCTCAGCAAGTTCATTTCCTGCTTCCTCTCCATGTCTTCTTGACTCCTCTATCTCTTCTTGACTCCTGAGACTCCTCTCTTTTTGTCTGCAAGTCCTGCCTAATCTCTACCTGTCCAGCTGTTGACCATTCAACTTCTTTATTAAACCAATCACAGTGACATATATGCACACAGTGTAAAGGACTATTCTATACATGTGTATATTTGTGGGGCATGTGTTGTGTGTGTATGTGTGTGTTGTGTGTTTATGTGTGTGTTAGGTGTGCATGTATGTATTTTGGGGGGTGTTGTGTGGATATGTGTGTATATGTGTGTGTTGTGTATGCATGTGTTTATTTGGGGTGTGCGTGGGGGGCAAAGATGGACCCTAGGTGTCTTGTCCTTGATTGCTCTTCACTTTTTGTTTTTTGAGAAAAGGTCTCTCACTGAACCAGAGCTCATCAATATGGCTAGGCTGACTAGCCAATGAGCTTCAAAGATCTTCCTGTCTCTCTCCCTTAATCCCACTCATGTCCCAGCCTCCCACCCAGGCTGTGCTCTAGACACATGCTACCTATCTGGTTTTCTACAGTGTCTCTGGGTATCTGAACTCAGGTCCTGAAGCTTGTGTAGCAGGTAGTTTACCAACCAAGCCATCTCCCAACTCTGACTGACAATCTTTCTCCTTATCTCTATCAGTCCAATGTCCTGCTCATCCTTTAGGTTTCAACTTGAAACTGCTTAGTTGGGGAAAGGTGGGCCACACTTTCTTTTCCCTGGACCAGATCCCCTGTATTATGTTCCCACTGCAGGCTACACTTTCCTAGGGTGACATTTGTGCAGTGGCATCATGACTCTTAGAAAGCCTGTCTTCTTTGGTTTTTGGATTTTGTCATTGCGATGGAGAACAGGCCAGGTCTGCTCTTTAACTACCATAGTGGGTTTGTCATTTAGTTGGCTCATATTTTTATATGTGGTGTAAGGGGAAAGGTCTGGTTGCATGGACGTGGTGGGTCTCCTGTCTAACCTTTTCTTTGCTGCAGACTGTTTAGAAGTTGTTTCATGGTGGGAGCTCAGTGAGTTTTAAACAGACAAGAAGCTGAAACATCCTTTGCTTGCTTGAGAAGTGTCCAGAAATATAGCTGAGTGAAATGAAAACATAAAGAATGTCTTACTAGGTGACACCTGAGAACAACTCACAGTTTGATAGAAATGCCTCTCAAGGAGCTAGTTCACCCAGAGAGCATTAGGCTTGTTCTCGGAGCATCCCAGACTCAGAAACCTATGTGGACTCTGAGAAGCCAGTATATACTCCCCAGAAGACAGAATTTTCCTGTGTGTGTTCCACCCCATGGCCTG